GCCTGCCAAATCAACTCGGTTAGATAAAATTCCTGTACTCGCATTACAAGAACTGGTTTACGAACTGTGCAAAACTCTATGTCATTTTCCAAAGGTGCCTTGAAGAAGGCAAACTCACGGAAGAATGGAAGTGAAAATTCATCCCACCGATCTTTAAGAGAGGTTCACGACATGATTGTGCACATTACCCTCCTGTAAGTCTAACTTGCATCACGTGTAGTATAATGGAGACAGGTTTCGCAAACACTGACCGCCTTCTATTGTTGCCATGGAGACAGTTCACGATGGGGACACGCTGCTAATGGCAAGAGCATCGGTAGATAAAACGTCGAGGTAAACACATTCGCTAGAAAACTATCGTTCGGATATTAGCAGATGTTTCGGGGAAGAACCACTAACCTGTAAATGTAAACTTGGTCGAAAAACGAAAGCTAAAACGCTGGCAGCAGGTCAGAAGGAAGAAGAAACGAATGCGAACTAGTTTCCCTAAATGGGAGGGAAAAACAAAAATTGAGAGGAACCGATAAACCAACATTTTTTGGAAGAACAGTGCACAACAAGCCCTTAACAAAGTCGCTGTGAGTTTCTTCATCAGCGATTCGGGCTTCCATGCTCGTTGCCTGCAGCTCGATATTTGCATTGGCACACACCCAAGACTCAATGTGTTTACTGGGTATTGTAGTTTCTTCCTCCAGCTGCATGAACTGCAACGAAATTATCAAGGTATAAAGAAGAGAGCAAATACATTTCCTTTGTTTATTTTCGCGTTTGCAAACTCTTGGCGTGTAACGAATAGCGCCAAATAATCCAATTACCCTTAACATTGTTCCTAGGGGTTTTATTTCGTGTTTTTCTGAGTCCTTAGCTGCATTTTCCTTTTTATCCTTTACATGGGGTCAAGTCAAGTCATGTTTATTACAGGAAATATAAGCAAACGCCACGAACTTTGTCAATCCAGTCCCTCAATGTCAGTCTGATAAGTATTTAACTAACATAAGGCAAGTTGTTCTTTGAAGTAAGTGAGGGATAACATATTTAATGGCAGCAACCAGGGAGAATTTAGAGCAATTAGCGCATACGCTACATAATAGTCGCGACCTTCTCCGATTTTGGAACCTATTCGTTTTAATTAGTGCTCATGTTGTGCCTATACAAATATTGCTCTGGAATGCATCGTCGGTTGCCCATTATATTGTGATAAAATTGCGGAATGAGTTAGGTGAGTTGTTTATCTCTCACAACTGGCTTTGTCAATGCATTCTAACACACGCAATTTAAGAAACATAATTAACGAATAAGCAATTTTTTTTATAAAATCGGTGTGTCCGACAATAGACCGTTTGATCAAAATCCGTACACATATAGCACAACTATCGAAGGCTTTTTAGATGTTATACACACAGCTACGTAAGACAGCAAACCATGCACCTAAAAATGGCAAGTGTCCGTGCACATATAAGTCTAAGACTCCACCAGACCAAGGAATAAACAAAACGTAGCAATTACAGTTTATGTAGTTAATTGTTACGAATCGGCTAACAGCAAAATTGCAAACGAATAATACTTAAAGAATAGCCTGTAGGATAACCGTATTTACTGGATCTCTGAAAGATAACACAGTAGGGTGTGTAGCAGTGCATGCAATTG